ATCTCCTTAAACTGACCCTTTCATTGCATCCCCCAGCAACCCCTTTCCTACTCTTCTTTTTTGTTCTGAACCCTGGTGGTGGAGGTGGTGGAGGTTCAGATGTTTCTACTTCAGGTTCAACTGCTGCTTTGGGTGAATGAGGTGGTGGGGTTGTTCTTGGTTCAGGTGAAAGTGGTGGTTCTGGTGTTGGGGTTGTTTGTGGTTGAGGGGAGGGTTGGGGTGGTTCAGGTGTTGGGGTTGTTTGTGGTTGAGGGGAGGGTTGGGTTCTTCCAGTTGACCTTCTTTTGGGTGTTGTTTTTTTCCTTTTTTGAGGAGTCCTTTTTTTGCTTGCACTTGAGGATTTGGGCTGGTTCATAGGAGAAGTTTGTTGAGGGTGTTTAGGTGGAGTGGAAGGCTGAGTACTCTGTTCAGGCTCAAGCCGAGATGCCCCTAAGAAACCTCATCAGCTCCTGGAATGTCAAACACTCTAACATACTCCATATCACCACCATCAAGATTAGCAACAGGCACCTCAACTGCAACTTTAAAAGGTTGTTACTCCTCCAACTCTCTCTCAGCCTTGACCTTTTCCTCCTCCAATGTAGCTTTCTCAGCCATGGCCTTAACCCTTCTTTGCCAATTAGCCTCAGCATCCTTAAACACCTGCCTAGGACTTTGCTCTTCCTCCAAGAATATTTCTACTGTCTCCTTCCCTTGAAACCACTCCCACATTTTAAGCATGTCCCTATCCCCAGCTAACTCCAAATTCCTATTAGTTCTAGGTGGCAATACAAACAAAGTGAAGCATTTGGGAAGGATCACATTTTGTTTCACAGAATCCTCAAACATAAACTCATATAAGTCCATTAGACTTGTTCTGTCAGTATCATCAACCAACACATCAAAGCCCTGATCTCTGTAATGGCATCAAGCCACACTCTACTCATCCTATCATCAACAAATTACACATAACATCAACACACATCATTCCAATTCACAACCACATACCAACACATCAGTCATATCACAAACAACATACCAACACAACATTGACCAAATTGAATTTCAAGCACTTCACAAACCCAAAATTCATATCAATGCAAAATCAATACCCACAAATTACCATCTTTAACATGAATTTTAACAATAAATCACATAGGTCAAGTCAAATAAGCGCATAAAACTGATCATTTCATAAAACCCTAACCCTAACTCAATTTTCGATAAAAAATTCAGAATCAAAGCGCGAAATGATGATCGAAAGGGAAAATAATACCTTGATTGCTATTTCCAGCACCCCGAAAAAAAATTTGAACTCAACTGTTTTCCTTCTAGTACCCCGAGTACAATTCACCGATTTTCAGGTTCGCCCAAGTTCAACAAACGATAAAGCGTCAATGTAGTTGCGTCTGTCGTTCAGGTGTTCGAAGAAAGCTTCTTCCTTGATTATGGTTTGAAGGTCTGAGTGTTGTTGAAAGCTCGAAGAATAGGGGAAGGTTTGAGAAGAACAACGAGAGAATTTTTTTTTTTTTGATCTAAATTTTAGAAGTCAGAGAGTTAATGCACTTTAAGGCGCCATAAAAGACAATAAGGGCATAGAGGTCATTTCGCGATAACGGACTGTTAACGTCCAGGCCTCATTAATGGCACGATGTGACATTTTACTATTTGTGAGTGGCATTTGGTGAATTCTGAAAAGTGCAATGGCATTTGGTGAATTTTTAAATTTGTCAGTGGCATTTGGTGAAATAACTATATTATTTATGGATCCCCACAAACCCTAGAAATAAAACTACTCACACATAATTAAATCTAAACAAATCAAAGTAATAAAACAAAACATGATCAAAGGAATAAAATAAATAACTAAGATTAAGAGAAGAGAAATCGTTACCAAATAAATCTGGAATTAAGAATAAAGTTAAGAACAAAGTATAAGAGAGAGAAACTAATCTAAAAGCTAAGTAGAGAGATAAAATCTAAGAAAGAATTAGGAGAGAGTAAAAAAAAGGTTCTAAACTCGCTTAACGGAAAACTATATATACTAAGCAAGAATCCTAAACTAAAACAAACTTAAACGTCGAATAATTAACATCTAATAATAACACGCGCCCGATCGGGCGAGGCACCTCCCGATTGGCGCGCCTTTTTCCTCTCAAGTATTAATATCGCGCCCGGTCGGGCGCAAGTTCGGGCGCCAGCCTTTGCTTCCCTCGCCCGGCCGGGCGCGTCTTAGGGCGCTAGCCTCTTTGGCCGGGCGGCACTCTTGGGCCACTATTTGGACTTCGATTGGTCTTTAATTCTTTGGGCCAACATTATTTCAAAATACTCCAGATTGGCCGTTATACTTTTAATTCTTTGGGCCATTTATTTCATAAGTGCCTTTGAACTGATTTTCTAATAGTTATGAATCTGTTGTCAACTCGATAAGCTTTGCTTCAGCACATATGCATAACTGTATTCCTGCCAAGGCTGCTTCATATTCGGCTTCGTTGTTCGAGGCCTTTAATCTAAACTTGATGGCATATTCGAACAAATGTCCCTGTGGGGAGATCATAATTATACCAGCCCCTGAACCAGTCGAAGCTGAGGAGCCGTCAACTGAAACCTTCCATGTTCCGGTAACCTCTTCTTCTCTAGAGTAAGACGTTTCCACGATAAAGTCAGACAATTCTTGAGCTTTGATCAATACTCTTGATTTATACGTTATAACGTACTCAGACAACTCCACTGCCCATTTAAGTAGGCGTCCAGAGGTTTACATCTTGTGCAAAGATTTCTCTAACGGTTGGTTAGATAGAATGTCGATTGTATGTGCATCGAAGTAAGGTCGCAACTTTCGTGCAGCTATAACTACTGCGTATGCAATTTTCTCAACCAGTGGATATCGTCTATCCGCGGCATTCAGGACGTAACTCACAAAATATATGGGCATTTGAGCCTTTTTCCGTTCTACTAGGAGCACCGCCGCTACCGTTTTTGGTGACGCCGAGATACACAGCTGAAGGGTTTCTCCTTGTTCTGGTCTTTCTATGGTGGGTAAGGAACTTAAGTGATTTTTCACCACTTCTAATTCTTTGGATTGCTCTTTCCCCCACACGAATGTTTTATTCTGACGCAAGGCCACGAAGGCTGATTTGCTGATAAACCTTGTCAAGGCAGCCATACAACCCGTAATCTTTTGTATATCTTTTATCGATTTCGGTTCTGGTAAACCAAGGATCACCTCAACTTTATCGGGGTTAGCATCTATCCCCCTTTCGCTTACCATGAACCCGAGAAACTTTCCTGACCGAGCACCGAACACGCACTTCTCTGGGTTCAACTTCATCCAGTAGTGCCAAAGGGTTTTGAAAGTTTCTCTTAAATCAGCAACGTGATCTGCAGCCAAACGACTTTTTACAAGCAAATCATCCACGTATACCTCTACGTTCCTTCCCTTCTAATTCATGAAAACCTTGTCCACCAATTTCTGATACGTGGCCCCTGCGTTTCTCAACCCAAACGGCATAACCTTGTAACTGAATACCCCGGCATCAGTGATGAATGCCGCCTTGGTTCGATCTGGCTCGTATAAGCTGACCTGATGATATCCAGAGAAAGCGTCCATAAAACTCAATAGGGCGTGACCGGAAGTGGAATCTACGAGTCTGTCTGTCTTGGGTGAGGGATAGAAATCTTTCGGGCAAGCCTTATTTAAGTCCGTAAAATCCACACACATCCTCCATTTCCTTGTCGGTTTCTTAACCATGACCACATTTGCTAGCCATTCGATATATGTGTAAGGCTCAATAAACCCTGCTGCTAGAAACTTGTTAACTTCTGATTGGATGGCATCTATTTTTTCTGTTGAGAAGTTTCTCTTCTTCGGCTGAACCGGTCTTGCTTTCATATCAACATTTAACTTATGCACCATGAAATCGGGGTGTATCCCAGGCATTTCATCTGCCGAGAACGCAAACACGTCAACGCTTTCCCACAAGAGTTCCACCAAATGACAGCGCGTGTCAACATCCATATCCAATCCAACACGCACCACCCTTCCTGGGACCCCAGGTTGAAACTCGATATCCACAGTCTCGCCCCCCGGTGAGGGGCGTGGTGCTGTTATCGGTCGAGTATCAAAGTTTTCCATTGGCAGATCATGCGTGGAACCAGCTCGTTCCCTTTTATGCGCTGTCGGCTCATAGGCAGGTTGTCGGCTTGGTTGCTTCAATGCCGAGACGTAACATTCTCTTGCCATGGTTTGACTCCCCTTCACGCGCTCTGCTTTTCCGGCGTTTGATACATATACCATTGTTACTTGATATGTCGAGACTACATCTTGTATGTCATGAATCAAAGGTCTGCCGACAATAGCGTTATAAGCCGATGGTACGTCGATCACTAGAAATTCCGCCATAACGTCCCTAACCGCTGCCTTCCCTAACTCTAACTTGTAGAGCTATGCTACCTTCGGGTCTTACTGTCGACCAATTAAAACCTATCACCAGATAGGATACTGGCGTCAAGTACTTTCGGCCAATTCTCATGGCGTCAAAAGCCTTAGCGAACAAGATATTGGCGGAGCTTCCGCCATCAACAAGTGCTCGCTTGATATCAGCTCCATTAACTGTTAGTATTAATACTAACGGATCATCATGAGGGAAAACTATTCCCTTGGAATCTACTTCTGAAAAAGATATCGAAGGCATATTGGAAGGTCGGGGTCGTTCCTCTACCCCCAGTGCATTCACTATGTGTCGGTATTCTGACAGACTCTTTTTTGCTCCGCTTACGGAACCCCCATATACTGGTCCACCGGTAATGACATCTATTGTAATTTTGCGACCCGGCAAAACATTTCCCTGCCTGTATGCTTCTGTATGATTCTATTTATAGGTATCATCTTGCGTTGATGAATCCCCTTGCTTTCGGTATTCGGTTTTCCTGGGCTGCGTGTTCTGCTGCCGCCCGGATCCTGCCTGGGCACGATACTTGGACAAATGTCCTTTTCTTATGAGGTCTTCAATATTCTCCTTTCACTGAATACACTCCTCGGTATAGTGGTCGACGTCTCTATGAAACATGCAGTATTTCTTAACATCTCGGCCCTTTGTTATCATGGGCGCCGGTCGACTCCAGTCTTCCTTATTCTGGTTGATAGAGTATATTGTTGCTCTCGGTGAATTCAACTGCGTATAACTACTGTAACGGCCCAAGCCCCTTGCCGGCCTTCCAGATCTTTGCTGATTTTGCTGCTGCAATCTATTTACCCCACTTGCCTGGGTGCTTGGAATATTGTCGTTCTGTCTCCTAGAGGGTTCTGGCGACGCTATCTGGCGGCTTGTTTTCAGTAGCTCCTCACTCTTTATAGATTCGTGAGCTTTGCCAAACGCTACCCCCAAATTCGAGAAAGACTTTTGTGCCATGTATTTTTTGAAGTCGTTGTCACCCAAACCATTCATCAAGGCCATCACGGCAATTACTTGCTGCAATTTTGGTATGGTATTAGCTTCGTTATTGAAGCGCTTAATGAAGTCTTTAAGCGATTCATCTTTCCGCTGCTGGACGACCATAAGTTCACTAGATGTCCTTTGCCTTGCGTTGTTGCTTATGTACTGGCCCGTGAACAACTCCACCAGGGTCTCGAAGCAGTTAATAGAGCCTGGCTCCAAATTGGAGAACCAGTCCGAGGCTACTCCAGCCAAGGTTGTCGGAAAGACTTTGCACCATACCGCATCGGTATCGGTGTATAGCAACATGTGGCTCTCAAAAGCCGCCACATATTTCTTGGGATCCCCTTTACCGTCAAATGTACATGATGGCATTTTTATTTTCTCCATCTATTGATCAAGTACCTCCTGGGTGAATGGGGATATCCTTGGCTTGACAACAGCCCTAGCTACCCGCCTTTCCAATCCGTTGTTAACTTCATGCCGATAGGAACCCTAGTCCCCGATTTGGGTGCCGCGTGTGTTTTAGCGCTCAGCCAGTATTATTGCCTCTCGGACCCGGGCCTAGGAAAGGGGTTGTTGCCCTACCTGATTGAACTAACTTTCAAGATTCACGATTATTGGCTTTGCTGGTACATCACCTAATACTTCACCAGCCGTTAGCTCGGCTTCCTTTCTTTTCCTAAACATTGCCCGCATAACCCTAGCCGTTATTTCTAATTCCTCTGGAGTAAACCCTTCCAAAGGATCTGGGGTTACTGCCTATTGCGGTCAGGTGTTATTGGCATGTTTGTTGTATTGTCGTGAAGGAGATGAGTTTCATCTTTGACCACGATCTCAGGTATGTTGTTTATGGTTTTACTTGTATTAGTGTTAAGGATATTGCTGTCATACTGCCGATTTTCGATTTCCGGCATCGGCGTTGTAGCTTATTCACTTCCTTCCATGACTACCGAAGGCTCTGTAGGACGATATAAGTTATTACTACCCCTCCTTCTAGCGCCAATTGTTCCTGGTGAATTCTGATTCTGTTAGTATCTGAGGGCAACTAATGATTTACCGTCCAATTGCGCACCTGCACAGCCAATACAGAATAGCTAACCCGGGGGTTATCCGGGAATAACCGCTCCGATGCTAAAGTTAGTACTTTGATGAGAAGAAAGAGAAAGGAGAGAGAGAAAATGTTTTAGGGAGAGAGAGAGATTCTACCTTTTAAATGGGAATTTGCTTGGGTATTTATAGAAAGACAACTAAGCAGGTGCCACCTATACCAATAGGTGGCAAACCGACCTTACAGGTAGCAGGTGCCTACGTGGTCCAAAGCAGCTCTCCATGTGGCGGAGGGACATGCTAAGTGGTGTGAAGCAGCTCTCCACGTGGCGGAGAGGTATGCCGATAGGAGTTACGGTTTGTACGCTAATTAACAAGGGCTTAACTGCACAGTATTCTTTTACCGGCTAATCAACAAATGCTACCGGTCTATCCTGTACAATTATTAATAGGGAAATGCATGCACATCTGAACAAGTTCACGAAATAATTATTTTGGGCTTCTAATCATAAAATGATTATTTGAAAACCAATAGATAAATTCTCAAATATTAATTTCATACGTTTGGAATCAAATCAAATGCTTTTATTCACATAAATGAAAATTGATTTTATGCAGCTCAAGTATCATGATCAAAGTTATTTAATTTAGAATAAAATCAACTATATTTGGAATCAAATCAAATGTTTCTAATAAGTGTAATAGCATAAAACCAAGTGTGTCAAAACTGGAAACTAATAAAATTAAATATTGATCATGTGATGCTCATGACCATGAACCAACAAATTTCTCAAAACTAATAAAAGAAAATTTTGCTTTACTTACGGAGTACTAACATGTTTCACTTTATTTTGCTCCCTCCGTATATTTAAAGTGTCCCATTGATAATCATATATGTCAATACTAAATTTTGATAAAAAAATATCTTCAATCATCAATAAAAATCGAAAATTAATAATCTTTTCATAGAAACGGTTCCAATAAATACCGATAAGATTATGTTTTTTCTTATGTATTATTCACAAACAATTGGTTTCCGAATGTCATGTTGGAAACGGGTGGAGTGGTGGACATTTGATGTGTGAGGTGTGGAGAAGATGTTTTATATTAGGATAGGGTATTGTTCCTTTCTTCTCTGTGTTACTATTTAATGGGTTATAGATTTAAATTGGATTATTTCATTAATGAATGGAGCTATAGAAATTAGGATCTTGCTAACAAACGTCCCGGACGTAACTAATTAATATATTACTTAAATAGTATGAAGTTCGGAATGTATGACTAGGGATGGCAATTTAACCCGACTTCGATTCGAATCCGATCCGATCCGAAGAAAAAAATCTGATTCGAATCCGTTTAAAATTAATCCGAATCCGATAAAATAGATCTGAATCTGAATAGGAGGTGGATAGGACTTGGACCCTACGCAAAGTCCGACGGAGTTTGATCCGAGTCCGAATCCGAGAGTATAAGCATATGCTCTATAACTTTGGACAATTATTTGCTTGTTTTGTAGCAAAATTTTGTTATGTAACTTAGTTTATAATTTTATAATTTAAATATGTTATATTTATACTTTAATTGGTATGACAATACAATCAATTATAGGTATATGACATTACAAAAAATATTTGGATCATTTCGGAGGTTCGTATAAACGAACCGGATTTGGATCCGAAAATTACGAGTCGGATCGGATTCGAACTCGGATTTTTCGGATTCGGACTATGATTCGGATCCAAGTACAGAGTCTGCTTACTAAACGGATCGGATTCGGATTTAGTCATATCCAACCCGAATCCGATATGTTGCCATTCCTATGTATGACATAATCACGCCATCTCGATTGGTTTAATTAATGTTAGTTTTACTTAAATATTTTCAAAGTTATTTCTCTTATCTAACGCCATCAGTGCGCTCGTTAGCTTTTGCCTAGTAAGTATTGTAGGACTTTTCTAGCATGATGATAGGGAACTTGGATTTATTCTACTGGAGCTCTCAACGATGATAGTAACCTTCCATTTAGGAATACTGGAGTACTTATTTGTGATGACGTTAGTCTTTCTTAAAATTATGTAGGTAATACATTCGATATGTTCTTAGGGAATAGGGTGGCCGCAAAATTTATTTTTGGAAATTTTGACTTTTGCTACCTGTGAAACACATGCATTTCACTTTTGCTACTTGAGAAATTTTTTATTTGATTTTAATACCTATCAAATGACATTTTTAAAAAATTGCTGCCGGTTAACGCAAACAGTTAGTATTTCTATTAGTGAGATCTAGCCACCCTCACTATCACCTTATGGCCACCACTTCCTCCTTAGCCACCTTAACTACCTCCCCGTCAGCCACCAAAAAAAAAATTAAAAACCTACCCTTCTCTTCATTCACTCTCTTCTGAATCTCCTCCTTCTCTTTCTCTCTCATCTCCGCCTCCCTCCTCCCTCCAGTCTCTCTCATCTCCGCCACCCTCCTCCCTCCTCTTTCTCTCTCATCTCCGCCTCCCTCCTCCCTTCTCATTTTATTTCCTCGATTTTTGAAGTCCAGCGCCACCCACCCCTTGGGCTGCTTTTGACCAGATTCGACCAAGGCACAACCAATTAATGGTTTTTAGGTCGAATTTGATATCTTGGGTTTTCATGGTCGAATTTAACCATATAAACCAAAAGTCAAAGATTTCATAAGGTATGTTTACCTTTTTCCATCAATCTATTGTATTTTTTTTCTAAAAAATTTGGGTAGTGGTGGTCTGGTAGTGCGTATGGTGGGTGTAGCTCAGTGGTTGTGCGTGTGTGATGGTGCTGTTGCTGGTGCGTGTGGTGCTGGAGGTGGTGCTGGTGGTGGTGCGTGTGGTGCTAGTGGTGGGTGTGGTTGTGCGTGTGTGGGGGGTAGTGGTGCTACAATTTTTTAAGGCAAGAAGAAGGATCCTACACTTTTGTTTTTTTTTTTAAAGGAAGAAGGATCCTACTTAATCGGTACTTGGCTTCTCACACAGGGTATTATGATGTGAACAATTAAAGATACTTTAATATTTTTAGTTCATATTTGTTAATTCATAATTTTAACATTATAGATCTAATTAAATATAAGTATAAGATTTTATTTGACTATATTTCTAATATATAAGGATAATATAATATTTCAATAACAAAAATTCTTAAATAAAATGAACTTTTATCAATCTATTGTAAGATAGATTAAAGTTACACTAAAAAAAAGTAATACATTAACCTCAAATTGACCATCTTTCAAAAAAATAAATCAAACTTCAACTTATACAAAGACAATAATGGTGATCAAATGACTTCATAAATCTTGTTAAGCGTTCAATCTCTTTTAGGTTGGATTTGTACCTTCATCCCCGAATATCCAGTCATGGTTCCATACCACAATGGATTCAGCGATCTCATGGATCGTGAAAGAGTGTAACCTTCACCTTGTGAACGGTTTACAAGTTCCTAAAACTTGTTGGCGACTCTTTTACTCTAGCATCCTTCCCTTTGGACGCCACCATACTTAAGTGTATTATCACAGTGGGGCTCAAGTGTGAGATTCTTGAAATATTCCCTACAGTTTTTGGCGACTCCGCTGGGGAGGATTTCTGTTTTAATTCCTAAAATTTTTTTTGGCAATGGTTTAGAATGAGTGGATGAGACTTGAAAAGTTCTAAGTACTCATGTGCATAATTTTGATTGACATTATTGGCATAAGCATAAAAAAGGTTCGCATTGGATAGACCATCCGTAATGTGTAAAAAAAACATAGGATTTTTACACATAGGAAATTTGGGAAATATTTTTCACAACTAGGATCGAAATAACGTTGCGAAAAACTGGAAAATTTAGAAAATAGAAAGTTGCTGAGGCATGTAGGAATTGACGCTGAGAAAACAGAGTCTATTGCAGTTCGACAACAATGAAGCGTGGCGAGAGAGTCATCGTCTCACGACAGACTCTGTTGTCTCGGGCTAAGTTCTTTCAATGTCGAGCTAGAAATCTACCTTCTTGTTTTGACAAGTTCTAGTAGTGTTTGCTCGATTCAACTTCCTAATTGAGTTTTTCTCACTTTTTCTGAACCCATATGTGTTCTACATATGGCCATAACCCTCTGGGATTTCACACTCCATCTACCCAATTGAACGCTCACGACAACGAAGGGTACATCCGAGTTTGTGAATTCACCAAACCGTGGAAGCAAGTTTAACTTGCGGGGCCCATACACACGCGCCAACCCTTCCAAAGGTAAGGATTTCGCGCGGTGTATCCGGACTCATAACCATGGACCCTCTTTGACTAACCCTTATCCTTGAACTTTATTAGAGA